CAAGTCGGGCACGTAGGGGTCCGTCAAGAGCGGTACGACCTCCAAGGCGTCCTTGCGAAGGACGAAGGCTGTTTGCGACGCATGCTGCTGACTGTTACCCAGCTCGTCCAGGTCGCGCTGCCGGGCAGAATCTGTCACGAATGTTCCCACCTTCGTCATCATGGGCGCCTCAGTCCACGGTGGCGCTCAGCGCAGCAGCCTCTAGCGCTCGACCACAGGGCCGAGCGCGAGAGGCTGACCTGAGGGTGGGCAGTCCCCCGTATCCGCCCTCGTCCATCGCCCAGCTGCAATGTCCCTGCAGATGGAACGGCCGGGGGCCTGGCGAGTGCGGGGGATAGAGTCGCGCACACGGCCCTGTGCGTGATGCTCCTCCTCCTCCTCCTCCTCCTCCTCCTCCTCCTCCTCCTCCTCTATGTTCTGGTCCTCCAACACGTCCTCGTTGTGTGGGCAGGGCACCCCCCGCCGAACACTCATCCCCAACCTTATCATCCACCTCCAAATACCTGCGTATCCTGTTCTTCCTCCTCCTTTCCTCCTCCTCCTCCTCTTCCTCCTCCTTTCCTCCTCCTTTTCTCCTCCTTTCCACCTCCTTTCCTTCTCCTCCTCCTCCTCCTCCGCCTCCTCCTCCTCCTTTCCTATTCCTTTCCTCCTCCTTTCCTCCTTTCCTCCTCCTCCTTCCTCCTCCTCCCTCCTCCTCCTCCTCCTCCTCTCCTCCTCCTCCTCCAACTCCTCCTCCTCCTCCTCCTCCTCCTCCTCCACCTCCTCCTCCTCCTCCTCCTCCTCCTCCTCCTTCTCTCCTCTTTGTTCCCTCTCGTCCTCCTCCGTTCCTCCTCCTCCTCCCCTCCTCCTCCTCCTGCATCTCCTCCTCCTCCTCCTCCTCCTCCTCTCCTCCTCCTCCTCCTCCCTCGACCTCCTCCTCCTCCTCCCTCCTCCTCCTCCTCCTCCTCCTCCTCCTCCTCCTCCTCCTCCTCCCCTCCTCCTCCTCCTCCTCCTCCTCCTCCTCCTCCTCCTCCTCCTCCTCCTCCTCCTCCTCCTCCTCCTCCTCCTCTGTTCCTCCTCCTCCTCCTCCGCTTCCTGTTCCTCCTCCCAAAAGATCCGATGCTTCGTTAAATACAGGGTCCCCAGAAATCTCTACCCTTTTGGCTTGTGATTCCGAGTCGTTGTTTGACGGTCCCAGGGCCAGGCGAAGGCCTCTGGAGGACGAGTACGGAAAAAACCCTCCGTTTTGATTGTCGATTCAAAGTGTTGCTTCTCTGGGTGTTATTGCTGCCCCTCTCTTCGAAAGAAACAGCAAGCTACAACAACATGTAATCTCTAAAGTTGGCGCGGATTTCTTGGATCGTCGCTGGACCGCTCTCCATGGCGCGCAGAGCGCTAGGGGCGGCGCTGGAGGTGCCGCCAGGGGTGCCCAGACGCCAGTCCAAGAAATCCGCGCGGAGCTCTGAGAGCGTAAGTTTAGGGGATTGGTCCTTCTTCGAGTTCAGCGGGGCCTAAGCAGCGAGGGCATCCCACTGGATATCCTCCTCCTACTCCTCCCTTGCTCCCCTTTTCATAGTGTTCCTCCTCCTCCTCCTCCTCCTCCTCCTCCTCCTCCTCCTCAGTTCCTCCTCATCCTGCTGCTCCTCCTCCTCCTCCTCCTCCTCCTTCTCCTCCTCCTCCTGCTCTCCCTCCTCCTCCTCCTCCTGCTCCGTTCCTCCTCCTCCTCCTCCTCCTCCTCCTGCTCCGTTTCTCCTCCTCCGTTTCTCCTCCTCCTCCTCCTCCTCCTCCTCCTCCTCTTCTTCTTTTTGCTCCTCTCCATTTCCTCCTCCTCCTCCTCGTCTCCGCCTCCCTCCTCCTCCTCCTCCTCCTCCTCCTCCCCCATTCCTCCTCCTATTCCTCCCTCCTCCTCCTCCTCCTCATCCTCCTCCTTCACCTTCTCCTGCTCGTCCTACTCCGCTCCTGTTCCTCCTCCTCCTCCTCCCCTCCTCCTCCTGCTGCTCCTCCTCCTCCTCCTCCTCCTCCTCCTCCCTCCTCCTCCTCCTCCCCTCCTCCTCCTCCGCCTCCTTCTCCTCCCCTCCTCCTCCCCTCCTCCTCCTCCTCCTCCTGCTGCTCCTCCTCCTCCTCCTCCTCCTCCCTCCTCCTCCTCCTGCTCCTCCTTCTCCTCCCCCCTCCTCCTCCCCTCCTCCTCCTCCTCCTCCTGCTGCTCCTCCTCCTCCTCCTCCTCCTCCTCCTCCTCCTCCTCCTGCTCCTCCTCCCTGCCGCATTGGACAAGGGCTCCGCCCCAAACGACCGCCTCTGGCGGCTGGCCCATGCCCCCCAGCGGGGAGCCCGCCCCCCCCCCCGGGACCTCAGCAGCGAGGGCAGCGGACCGGCGCCGCCGCCGGCCGCCGCCTGCGGCGCCCGCCGCCGACGCCGCCGCCACCGCCGCCGCCGCCGCCGCCGCCACCGACGACGACGACGACGACGACGGCGACGACGACGACGTCGACGACGACGATTTGACGACGACGTCGAGGACGAGGTGGAGGATCAGGAGGAGGAGGAGGAGGAGGACGAGGACGGGGAGGATGACGACGAGGACGAGGACGAACACGAGGAGGCGGAGGAGGAGGAGGCGTGCCATTTGAGGAGGGGGAGGAGGACGAGGAGGCCACAACTGGCTGGACGGCGGCGGCTCGTCAGGGGGGAGAGAATGAGGACGAGTTGGAGGAGGAGGAGGAGGAGGAGGAGGAGGAGGAGGAGGAGGAGGAGGAGGAGGAGGAGGAGGACCCAGATCCAGATACCAAGATATCCCACGATCTTATCTTTTCAGTCCGCGCGTGCTTCCTCAATTTCGGCCTGTAGGGCCCCTCATCGGGCCCTGCGTCCTTCAAAAACGGCTCTGGGACGAAAAACTACCCCTTGGAAAGGGGGTCGGGAGCTCTGGGGCCGATGATTCCAGGGAGCGTCGCCCACAAGCCCTTTAGGCGTGAGTGGTTTAGGGCGTTTCCTCTACACTCTGCTTCCCCTTCGGGGAGGTTTTTACCCATTCCCCCTGCCCCCTCCCCTGGACCTGGATGGGCGGGTTCGCGACCCGTTGGAGCTTTCGAGAAAGCCTCGGCGAAAAAGGTACCATTCAGCGCTGTTTTAGCCTCGCGTCGGCCTCCTGAGGGGAAATGTACTATGGCACCCACCCTTTTTTGATCGAGCTCCTCCAACATGGCCCCCAAGGCCCAAGGCTCCAAAAAAAAACTCCACGAGGGCCCCAAGAGGCGCCCAGGAGGCCCCGAGGGCCCCCAAATCGGCCCCAACAGGTAAGAGACTCCCAAGAAAGGCTTAAGAGAGCCCCAATCTGTTTTCCCGAGGCACCCAAAACGATCCACAAGGCCCCTGGGACCGCCTGAAGCCCCCCCGAACCTCAAGCAACTATCACCAGACATCCGCAGAGACTTCGAGAGACATCCAAGAGGCCTCTGGCCTCGCTGCTCGCCCTCCTCCCCCTCCTCCTCCTCCTCCTTCTCCTCCTCCCTCCGCCCTCCTCCCCCTCCTCCTCCCCGTCCCCCTCCGATTCCTCCTCCATTCTCCGCTTATTGGAATTATTATGGCGGCTTTCCCAGCAGCCCTGGTCCCCTGCAAATTCCTCCACATCTCTGATCAGGGCATCAAGCCTGGGCATTGTTCTGGATGGGCTGGTGGGGTTACTTTTTGATGCCAAGCGCACAGGGAGACGCTGGACGCCGTCCGAATCGTAGCAAGCGGACTGCGAACGAGCTGGTGGGGTTACTTTTTGCTCGCGGGCGCAAGCGGAAAAACCGCGCGCCGTCAATAACATCCAACGGAGACCTAAAAAGCAGCGGCCGGAGACGGGGCACTACACGCGCAGCGAGCGGGAAGCCGAACAAGGAATAGAGGCCGGGCCCGCGTGCGGAAGAGGGACCCTCACCAAGCTTGTCCTCGGCGACCTTGTCCCCAGCGACCTTCAACCCCAGCGATCAGCCGTCCACTCAGCCGACGCAACACGGAGCAAACCAACGCCTGGGGCGACGGGTGCGAGCCGAGGTGGCGCCGTGCCGTCGAGAGCACATCCCAAGGAAGTCAGCCGTAGGGAAAGGGCCCTTGTGTTTGCTGGCACTAGCTGGTGGGGTTACGCGAAGCGTCTAAAATATTTAGATAACCTTTCGGAAATCCGCGCGGATGTCTTGGCTTGCCGGTGGTTCCCCATGGCGGCGCCTCCAGCGCCGCCCCTGGCGCGCACCTTGAGCCCAGGAGGGGGTCCAACACCGATCCGAGGAGTCCGCGCGGACCTCCGAAAGCGTCTGTCTATGTTATAATGTTACTCATTGACAAAGCGCTACCTCTCGTGCTGCTATAGATTCTAGATTTTTTTTAAAAAAAAAAACACATATCTAAAATACCCTTACTTACGCATGTCATGATGTGTCACCCTGGTGCTGGTGTTTCTTCATGCATTTACTTCTTTCCCGAAGATTAACAAACAATGGGAGAATGTCTGGGTCGTCTCGGTCGCCGCCGCGGTGGCGGCGCTGCAACGAATCGCCACGGCAATGCCGCTGCGTCCTCGCCACCGTCTCGAACCGTCGACGTCCCAGTCGTCCCCGTCGTCGTCGTCGTCCTCGCATCGGGTGACACAAACAATCAGTATGTACCGATGCCGCTGCTGCCCACCCATCTCCCGCGGCACGTTCTGGCCGGGACGTCGCGGCGAATGCGGCCGTTGCGAAGAGGAGTGGCTAGCGAAATATTGATACCATGTCCTCCTCTGATCATCGTCGTCATCGCCTTCCTGCTGCTCGCCCTCTTCCTCTTCCTCCTCCTCCTCCTCCTCCTCCTCCTCCTCCTCCTCCTCCTCCTCCTACTCCTCGTCCGCCGCCGTCCTCGTCGTCGTCGTCGTCGTTGTCGTTGTCGTCGTCGTCGCCGTCCTCGTCCTTGTCCTCGTCCTCGCCGCCGCTGCCGTCGCCGTCGCCGTCGTCCTCGCCGCCGCTGCAGCGCTGCTGCCGCGCCCGACCGGCGGAAGCGCCGACACCACGCGCTCCCGCCGCCGCCTGCGGCGCACGGCGGGCGCGGGTGGTGACGGCGTCGTCGCCCGCCGCCGCCTGCGCCGCGGGGCATCCTCTTTGTCGTCGTCCTCTCGTCGTCGTCGTCGTCGTCGTCGTCGTCGTCGTCGTCGTCGTCATCGTCGTCGTCGTCGTCGTCATCGTCGTCGCCCTCGCACTCGTCCTTGTCGTCGTCGTCGTCGTCGTCGTCATTGTCGTCGTAGCCGTCGTGATCGTCGTCGTCGTCGTCGTCCTCGTCGTCGTCGTCGTCGCCCTGCTCGTCGTCCTCGTCGTCCTCGTCGTCGTCCTCGTCGTCGTCGTGGTCGTCGTCGTCGTCGTGGTCGTCGTCCTCGTCGTCGTCGTCGTCGTCGTCGTCGTGGTCGTCCTCGTTGCCGTCGTCGTCGTCGTCGTCGTCGTCGTCGTCGTCGTCATCGTCGTCGTCGTCGACGTCATCCTCGTCGCCGTCGTCGTCGTCATCGTGGTCGTCGTCGTCGACGTCGTCGTCGTCGTCCTCGTCGTCGTCGTCCTCTCCGCACCGCTTCGCAGCGTTCCCACAGCCGCGCCACCCCGCTCGCGCGCGCGCGCACGAGCGCGCCGCCGCGGCAAGCGCGGCGGCCCCTCTGACAACCTGGGGTATCTATGTTTCTGTACCGATTCGGACCGACAACTTATCCCGAGTACAGCGCCACCGACAAGATACGCCGTCGGCATTGGCGTCGCCGACGCCCTCCTCCTCCGCCTCCTCCGCCTCCTCCTCCCCCCCTGCATCCTCCTCCTTCTCCTCCTCCTCCTCCTCCTCTTCCTCATTTCTTCTCGTCCTCCTCCTCCTCGTCTTCCTCCTGCTCCTCCTCCTCATCCTCCTCCTCATCCTCCTCCTCCTCCTGCTCCTCCTCTTGGGCGTTGCTTGGCGGGGGGGCGACAATGAAATGGGGGGGCGAATGACGTGCAACCCTCGTTCCCCCTTTGGCCCCAGAGCGCCCCAGTAGGGCCCCTGATCTGCTCGAAAGGCGCACCTCTTCTTCACGCCCGACCTTCCTCCTCGACTTGGTCTTCGGCGTGGTCGTTGACTCGGCCATCCTCGCCCTCGCCGTCGTCGTCGTCGTCGTCGTCGTCGTCGTCGTCCTCGTCGTCGTCGTCGTCGTCATCGTGGTCGTCATCGTCGTCGTCATCGTCGTCGTCGTCCTCGTCGTCGTCGTCGTCCTCGTCGTCCTCGTCGCCCTCGCCCTCGCCGACGCTGTGGCGGCTCGGCCGCGCCCGCCCGCCTGCAGCGCCGACACCACGCGCTCCCCGAGGCTCCCGCACGGGTGCAGGCCGACGACCAGGTCCCCCGGGCGCAGCTGCGCGGCCAGCGCGGCCCCGCTGCGGACGTCGCAGGCGGCGAAGGAGAGTCCTCGAGTTATGCTTAGGGGGCTGGAGATGCACCCCGACAATAAGCACCCCGACAACGCAACCGCTTAGTAAGCGCACCCGGCGAAGGAATCGAGCAAGAAAGCGCTGTTTAGTAAAGGCACGGGGCCCCTTAGCAAACGCCGATTATGGGGGTCGGGGTGGATTTGTCCTCGTTGACTGTTGGTCCCATCGTACTTACGGACCACATCCCAGAAAAAAAAATCGAGCACTCAGACAAGTATCGAAACAGTTTCAAGCGAGCATCGCCTCCGAGGGCCCGACACGTGGAACAGCTGGAGTGTCGGTACTTCCTTGGTGCTCGAAAGTCTTTCTGGCGAATGAGGCTAAAGTAGGTTGGAACATCATAACCCTCGAGACGGCGACGACGACGCCGGCGATCCCTGCCATCCTTCGTTGCGTGTCTGCTCCATTGGGGGCCCACGTGGCTTCCGGCGCTGCTCGATCTGGGCCCGACTTGGATCGGATTCGGAAACCATGTGGGACTGGACTTGAAGCAGATTTGGGCCAGCTTCGCCGCTTCGCACGGGAGGCGAGAAGAACGAGGGGGAGGAGTAACAGAAAAGACGAGGAGGAGTAGGAGGAAGGGTCAACTGTGGTCCAAATGCAGGAAAGACTGGTTTCACTGTCGCCGCCTGAGACTCCAATGAACAGACATCGAGCCCTCGTGCTTTGAAACAAGGAACGCGGCGGACAATTTTGGGCCGTTTTCTCGGGGGCCTCAAAACCGTGTGGTGACGGACCGCGCGGTGACATCGAAATCCCAGGAGACCTCACCGCACGACCGCAGTCTTGGGACCACGGAGCCCCCGTCGCCCGAGACGTCATCGGAGAGCGACCCGAGTCCCAAAACCGTGCGGTGACCCCCGAATGCCTACTGACACACCACGCGGTGTGGTCACCACACCGTTTGGGGCCCCCGCATTTCGGCCTCCATTGGGCCATCGCCGGGCCCCGGGACCGTCCAAAGAAGGCTCGGGATGAGAAACCAGTTCTGGGGAAGCAGTCCCAGGGCCTAGCGCCGATCCAAGAAATCCGCGCGGACCTCTGATGAATCATGTTTATGCTGTTTGCTCTCGGTCCTGAGAAGGCCACCCCCCACGCACCACCCCAGTCTGCGCGCCGCAAACACACTGGGGGTCGGAAAATCGCGCCGCTGCCGTCAGTATGACGAGAAAAAGAAGAAGGAGGAGGAGGAGAAGAGATGAGGTGGAGGAGGAGAATGACCCGAAAATCTGGCTCCAGAGCAATTCGCGCAGGTGCGCCGAAGCACTGGTGATGCGTCGCGATCCTGCGATCGCGCCCGCCTCTGGGCCCAACGGGGAAGCCTGGGAGCCCCCACATGCGTCGCCAAGGTGTCACGACGGGACCTCTGGGCCTCATAAGGGCACGATCTTAGGTCGTGTTAAGTGGGGCACAATCTGCGAAAACGTCTAGCTTACGAGCACGACCGTATGTCCCATGAAATGGGGCACAGCATGCCGGAATGCCGAGCGTACGACCGCGATCTTGGGTCCCATGAAGTGGGGCCCAGCATGCGAGAATGCCGAGCATACGGGCACGATCTCAGGCCTCATGAAGTGGGACCCAGCAAGCGGGAACGTTGTGACTACGGACACGACCTTAGAAAGAGCGCGCTCGTGGAACACTGCTCACTGAAAGGGGGTCCGCAGCTTGAAGCTAACCCCCCCTCCCATGTCCAGGGGGGGGAGCTAAGGAGGGACCCCCCCCACCCTGTCGGCGTGTGTGAGGGGCTTCTCCGTTCGAGTCGACGTCGCCGTCATTCGTTGATCGTCGTCTCTGCCGTCCCTTCTTCTGGCGCTCTCCTATCCCTGTGCCCGTCGCCGCTCCCCCCTCCTCGCCTGGGCCCTCGCCCTGCCTTACCCCCCCCCCCCCCCGAACTCTTGAAACCCGACATCGTGGTTTTGGTGCCGCGCGAGAGAGGTACGGGGGAAGCCTGCGGGACCACCAGCGTCCGCGAGCACGGACGCCCCGGCCGCCCGCTGCGCCCTGCCCACCGCGGCCGGGTCCACGTCCAGGCCGAGGCACTCCACCCCCAGGCGCGCGTGGATCTCTCGCTGAAGAGAGAAACCATCGGCACGAGCACCACCCTTCGGAGCTCCGCGGGGAGAACTCGGCCAGCGGCGCCGCCACGGGGGCCCAGCGCCGATCCGAGGAATCCGCGCGGAGCTCCGAGGATCAAAGGGTCAGTGGGACATTTGCTCGGCGTGTCGGGGCGGCGGCTCTGGCGACACGCTGCGCCGTGCAAGCGGATAGCGTGTCGCTCCGCTCCGCGGACTGGAAGGCTGGGAAATGCTCGGGACGTGGACCACCGGGAGCGGCGACGTGGATGGCCTGTCGCGACGCAGCGTGGTGGGCCAGAACTGGCGGAGCGACACTCCTTCTTTACCTGCGCGAGACAGGTCGCCCCGAGGCTTAGGAGGAGGAGGAGGAGGAGGAGGAGGAGGAGGAGGAGGAGGAGGAGGAGGAGTAAGAGGAGTACGTAAGAGGAGGAGGAGGAGGAGGAGGAGGAGGAGGAGGAGGAGGAGGAGGAGGAGGAGGAGGAGGAGGAGGAGGAGGAGGAGGAGGAGGAGGAGGAGGAGGAGTAAGAGGAGGAGGAGGAGGAGGAGGAAGACGAAAACAGCAGCAGGGGCTGGAGGAGGAAAGGAGAAGCCAGCAGCACAAGCGGAGCGACACGCCAAGCCACAGATCTGGACTGAATGCTCATGCCGATGTTTCTTCTTCGACTCGCGTCAGCACGCCCTGCCCGCAGCCCACGTCCACCACCCTGCGGATGCCGCGAGGACCCTGCGGGAAGCGGGCGCGCACGGCGCGGACATACGCCGCCACCTGCCTCGCCTTCCTCGCCCGCACGCCGGTGCTTCCGGCGACCCCCGCGCAGACGCCTGGCGGCTGTGACGGCGGGTCAAGGAGCGCGCCTGGGGGGGACAGGAAGCTACCTAGAGATGCAGCAACGTGTTGAGATAATCCAGACGGATTGTTGGTCGCAAGTTTGGCCGGCCTCTGGAAGCTCTCGACGCGCTCCTGGACTGTCAAAAAATAACTCGGGATGGAAAACTGGCCCTGGGGAAGGGGTCGAGACATCGGGGGGTCCCGCAATGAAAAGATCAAGACATCTATCTCTGGGCATCCATACCGCTCCTCCACGGACCTCTCCACAACGCTACTGGGGTGTGTCGGCTGCGAGGCGGCGCTCGGCCGAGCCGGACCACTCCGTGGCCGTCCGGTCGAGGATGGAGGCGCTTGTCCGTGCAGCACCCCTTCCTTCCCTCCACTCCGAATAACGCTTGCCGGAATGTGGCTGCGCATGGCCTACAGAGGCCGAGTTGCCCAGCATCCGTGTTGCTTCACATTTGACTGGCGGAGATGTCACCGCTCAGGCGGAATTGGACCTCTCCCAGGGTGCGTTCTGACTGGAATTTGGAAGCGAACCCAGCACTGGCGACGAGGGCCTCCCAGAACGCCCACAAGGGCAATAACGAGGGAAGGGTAGCTATAGGTACCCTGAAATCCGACAGCGCGAAACATAGAAAAAATCACAGCCCGAGCCCCACACCTAATCTGTTTGCGTCATTGTGGGTCCCGGGGCCCAAAACCAGGCGAAGTGGCCCGGCTCGACACAATTGAGACGCCATGATCTCAGGTGTATTTTCGGCTACACGTAATTCGGAGTGACCTGGGCAAGAGTGACCTTTGGTGCGTGACTTTCGGGGGCCGCGGGGAGGCCGAATCGGAGCGCGCAAGCCGCTGCTATCGCATCGCATTCAGCCGTTTGAGGACACCAACGTGCCCGCACGAAATGCTCACTCTGGCGAGAAGGGTCGCTCTTACGTTTAGCCGATCGTATATGAATACCCTTTCTTCCTCTGGGCACCGGCGCACGCGTCGAGCTCGCCGACGAGGTCGACCATCCCGGACGGCGCCCGGGGAGCCCCGCCGCCGTCGCGTCCCCGCCGCCGCACCAGCTCGCGCAGGCCGAGGCGTTCGGCTTGCGCCGCGGCGCCCTCGTCCTAGAGGAGCGAAGCAAAAGCGACCGCACCAGGGTCGGAGCAGATGGGAGGCCTCTAACCTCTAACCACCACCATGCAGGGCCCACCAGCGGGAGGAGCCAGACCAAGAGATCTGCAACGCATTGAAACATCAAGACGGAGGTTTTTCGCCATTGTTCGGCCTCTGGAGGCCCTCGCTGGGGCCCCGGGGCCGCTAAAAAACGGCTCGGGATGAGAAGCCGGTCCCTGGGAGTCGAGACTTCCGGGGACCCCGCATGGAAAAAATCAAAACATCGGCTCTCTGGGGAGGGGGGTCACCCTGGTGGTGTGGTCCCCCTGCTCGCTCGATGCATCCCGGGACCTCCTCGCCAGAGGTGGCCGGCCTGGTGGTGGTGGTGTCGCCTCTTCTGCCCCCGATCTTCCATTGGGGTTCACGAGACGATGCGGTGACAGACCGTGCGGTGACATCGGAATCCCAAGACCTCACTGCGCGGTCCGTCACCACACCGTTTTGGGACCACGGAGGCCCCAATCGCCCGAGACGTCCTCGGAGAGCGACGCGAGTCCCAAAACCGTGCGGTCACCCCGAATCCCAACTGACTCACCAAACAGTGTGGTCACCGCACCGTTTGGGGATCCTCGAGTCCAGGCCCATCAGGAACTCCGCCCAGGTCGCGTCCATCCATGCCGGCGGCACGGGCGCCAGGCTGGTTGGCCGGCGACGCGCGCAGAAAGCCCAGCTCTCCAGCGAACTGGCAAAATCAAGGCTGAAATTACTCGTCGTCTTCGGCGTCCTGGGTTCCTCGCCAAGCCCCTGAACCTTCAAAAACCGTATGGGGCGCAAAACGGGTACCCAGGAAGTGGTCCCAAGAGCTCAGGGGGCCCCGCATTGAAAACATCAAGACATCAGAAGTCCGAGAGAACATTCAGAAAATCAAGACATCAGAGGTCCGGGAGGGGAGCACTCAGATAATGCACCCCGCCATTTTGAGGCAATCCCCAGGGATCCGATGTCTTGATTTGTTCTATACGGGGTCCCCAGAAGTCTCGACCCACTTCTGGGGACTGGCCTTTAATCACACCTGAGAAAACACCAATCAGTGGATGATTTGAAAATTGGCACTATGGATCTTGAGATCGATTGTGAGATCGGTAATGAAATCGATAGTGTAATCGATAGCGAGGACGATTGTAAGGTCGATCGTGAGACCGAGAGTGGAATCGATTCAATGAGATCGATAATGAGATCGATCGCGAGATCGCTCATGCGATCTCTAGTGCGATCGCTTGTGAGATTGATAGTGAGATCGATTGTGAGATCGATTGTGAGATCCATCGAGAAGTCGGTAATGAGATCGATGGTGATCGATAAGAAGATCGACCAAGACCCCGGGACCCCGGGAACCTCGCCGCCCTCCGAAATCGGCCCGGAACCCTGAACCGGGAACCCAGGAACCCGGAACCGGGAACCCGGGAACCCGGGAACCCAGCCTGCCACCAAAATCGGCGGGGAACTTTCGCCAAATCCTTCAACTTCGGCTAGGACCCCGTCAGTGCAAGCACCGATTGGGGAATAAAGAGTCGCTTTTTAACGGCCCCGGGGCCCGGCGAGGGCCTCCAGAGGCCGAAGAATAACGAAACACCTCCGTCCTGATGTGTTCCATGCGTTGGATGTCTGGGCCCTCCTCGTGGCCTCGGCTGGGCGCAGCTCGAGAGGCTGGCCAGTGGGTGAGGTCTGGAGAGGAACTCCGGGCCGGCGAGCCCCTCTCGGGGGGGCCTCCGAGGGAGGCGTTCCTCGCATGGCGCGGGTGGCTTGCAGGTGCTCCCGCCATCCGATCAAGAAGCCTCCCTCGGAGGCCCCCCGATCCCGGCAACGGGCCCCGGAGACCGAGCTCGAACGAGACCGCCGGGATCAGAGAGACACGTCGCCGGAAATCTGTCGGGGGGGCCCAGGACGCGAGGATCAGGTTGCGGCATCCGGGCCCTGCCCCCGCCAACCATCGACTCTCCTGGATCGATCGGGGGCGGGGGGGTTCGGATCTCGCCACGCGTTCGACGAACTCCGAACCCTACCCCCGCCGCCCATCGAGTTGCCTCATTCGGCCGCGGGGGAAGGAAAGCGAGAAAAGGCAGGCCTTCTCAGAAGGCTCGGAAGTTCCCCTGGCCTTCGGAGAAGCTTTCGCAGCCCCCCCCCGAAGACACAGGAAACTTCTAAGAAGGCCAGCGCGCTTCTGAGAAGCCCCGCCGCCTTCTGACAAGGCCTTCTCCTTCGCACTTCCCCCCCGCGCTCGTCGCCGACTCCATTTGTTGACCGGCGAGGGTAGAATTCGGATTCCGCCGCCCAGCGAGGCCCGTCACCGCTCTCCCTGTGCGCGCCGCCGGGCCGGGCTCTCCCGCAGCGCCTGCAGCGGGAGCCGCGCCAGGAGCCCGCAGCACCTCTCGGCGGCGGGCACGGCCCCAGGGACGCGGGGGGCGAGGACGACGACCGACGCGAACGAGGAGGGCGGGCGGCGCGAGAGGAGTGGCCTACGATCACGAGCGGCAAGAGTCCCTGTACCGACGCCCTCGCAGTCTGGACTGCGGGGCGCGATCCCGCGGACACGCGATCGCACGGATACACTCCGCGCGGGCATCCGCGAAAAAACGCCCCCAAACCGCGGGGTCGCGGCACAGGGGCCCAGCCCGCGAGGCAGCGGATGTATAACTACTGATATGTTCTTTCGCCCACGACCACCGCAACAAGGAGAAAATGTTCGGCGCGAATGTTAGGGTGAAGCTCCTGGGATGTCTTCGTCAGAACGATGAGAGGCTTTTCAACCCGATTCAGGGGCCATCGAGCCAGAGCGGCCCAGACAAAGCCTGGGATTCAGCCCGACTCAGCAGGCTGAAGTTTTGTTATCAGCGGGACGACGCAAGTTCAGGCGGGATTTGTTATAAACTAGGTTTCGCACCCGCGAGCCAGTGACACCGCCGCCGTCGGCGAGGGGCCCCACATTTTCAATCTACTATCAAGAGCAGAAGGAGGAGGAGGCGAATTATTAGGCGCGTGCGGCGTGCGGCAGCAAGGGGGGCGGCCCGGCAGGGGGCAGGGAGAGGAACGGAGATGGGCGGCCGGGGGCGGGGGCGGTCGGGTCGGTGGTGGTAAGGGCAGTCGCGGTGGTCATGGCGCCGTCGTGCTGGCCGTGGTCGTGGTCGTGGTGCTGGTCGGCGGTGGTCGCGGTGGTGAACGTGCCGGCGCTGGTCGTGGTCGTGGCGTCGATGGTCGTCATGCTCAGAGTCGTCGTCGTGGTGTTGGTGGTGGCGGCAGTGGTGATCGTGCTGGTGGCGGTAGTGGTGGTCAAGATTCGTGGTTGTGGTCGCGGCCACAGGTGGTGGTCACTGCGCTGGCATTCCTCCTCCTCCTCCTCCTCCTCCTCCTCCTCCTCCTCTTCGTCCTCCTCCTCCTCCTTCTCCTCCTCCTCCTCCTCCTCCTTCTCCTCCTCCTCCTCCTCCTCCTCCTCCACCTCATGCTCCTCCTCCTCCCCCTCCTCCGCTCCTGGCCGCACTCCGGAGCAGACCTCCGCAGCAGCGCGCCCGCGCTCGGCGCAGCGGCCGCCGCGCGCGCCCCCGGCAGCCGCGCCCTCGTCAAAAGCGCCGCGGCCGCGTGGCACAGCGCGGCGCCCGCAGCGGCCCCGCCGCGGCGGCCGCGGCGCGGCATGGCGGCGCTGCCGCGGGCGGTGCTGCCGCTGCCGCAGCGGGGAAGGCTCCTCCTCCTCCTCCTCCTCCTCCTCCTCCTCCTCCTCCTCCTCCGCCCTCTCCTCCTCCTCCTCCTCATCCTCCTCCTCCTCCTCCTCCTACTCCTCCTCTGCCTCCTCCTCCTCCTCCTCCTCCCCCGCCATATCCTATCCTCCTCCTCCTCCCCCTCCTCCTCTCCCTCCACCTCCGGAGGGAGACAGGCAGAGGGAGAGAAGGGTCGAAGGTCGGGCGTGGCCCAACGGTGTTCGTCCCAGATCGCCGCCAGAAACCTCGGCGCTGGGTCCACAGGAACTCGGTCGGTCCTCGCGCCCTCGGCGATGGCGGTAATCTCAGATGTGCGTAGCGCCCAGGCTAGGATCCACCGAGCGGTGGCATAGGAAATGCGCACCGACGGAAGCAACGTTTCGATGGGGAGTGGCGCGCGGCTGGGCAAAGGCGAGCCAAACCTCCGACGCCACGGGAGGGTCGAGGCGGAGCTGCTTGTCTGCCGATTCCGGGTGTCTCGAGGGCGTCTGGCGAAGAGGGCGTCCAAGAGAGGGGGGGGATCCCGAAAATCATGGCCCAGGGCACCTGCGTGGCACGGAAGGGCAAGGGGACGTTCTTGAAAGAAGAAGAGGGGGCCACGAAATCCAGAGAGATCCCGTGGGCCCCAGACATGATATCAGCCGCCCCACATCTCCAACCACATTCTTGCACCCCTCTTGGCCGCCCCCGAATGTCTGGAGGGCCGCGCTCGGGCCCCCGGGCCGTCAAGTGGCGGTCCATGACAGCACCCCGGTCTTCGGGGAGGTGTCCCGAGGTCCGGGGGCCCCGCGCTGAAAAAATGGCCCCCGCTGCGGCAGAAGACGTGCCCCACGACATGGACAACATGGGGTACGATGCCCAAGCACACATGTTACCCAGAACCGGCAGCAGCTGCTGTTTGGCAGGCGGCCCACAGCGGCACTGACCGCGAGCCCTGTCCAACATAGACAACCACTGCCGTGGGTCTTCGCACCCCTTCTTTCCGTACCCATCTCCATTGCACCGAACGAGAGGCCCCGATGGGCCGCCGATCTCGGGGGCCCCGGTTCCCCAGCTGGGCGTTTTGACACTAGGGCAGGGCCAGTAGAAACTATTTGGTCGGCGACCGATAGGGAGATCCAAACGGCGGTGAAGCGGCGGCGGGACGCGCCGGAGCACAGCTA